TGGTTCAGCTGCAGAAAGGGAAATCCCGATCTTTAAATGGCAGTTGGCAGCGCCGATTATTAGATCAGAAGTGAAGAGTTTTTTCTGGCTCCGGTCCCTGCTTTCCTCCCTTTGATTGTTCCCTCTTTGCTGGCTCTCGTCAGGACACTTGTTCGGTTCTGGGTGATGCCGGACGCTGTTGGCTAGATCTGAAAGGAAACAAAGTAACAGTGCTAGAATATTTTTAAAGATGTTTTCCCTGCAAATAACGTTAATTTCGTTGAAGGTGTTGGGGTGCATCCAAAAGTGATTTGTTGTCCTGCCGTTAATTTGGACTCTGTGAAGACCATGGAAAAACCTGCCTAATCCAGTCTTTTCCCTAAAAAGAGAGACATGCACTAATCTGATTTGTGAATCCCATTTATAAGTCCCCTTATCCCTGCTCTTTCATGAAACAGATCCCAATTTATCAGCTTGCCACTCAGAAGGAGTCCTCAGGTACTAATGCTTCAGCTGATCAAAGCCTTCCTTCCCAAAAGTGGCATCTTAATTCAAAAGTGGCAGTCTGATGCTTGTGGATCAGTAGCTCTTTCTCCCTCTTTGCTTTGTCCCACGTCTTATTAGTATCCTTTCTTTTGACCATGCAATAGGGTGGCTGTTGGAGAGAGGGGCAAGGGCATCTCTGAGTCCAGAGTCAGGTTTTACTGAAGCATAGGCTGGTTTAGAGGCACGTGCTGGTGCAGAGGTGTCCATAGCTATGGTGACACACTGTGCTGTGTGGAGGAAGCACTGCAGGATCAGGCTGGTAAATCTTGCTCTTCTGCTGTTAGGATTGGGGTGTAAAAGTGCCTGTTCACTCAGAGACGCTTGGGGAAGAAGCCTCAGATAGTGCTGTGGTCAGCTGGCTGGGAGATGGTGACCTAAAGTTGGTTAGAGGGGGCAGGACCCTGTGGAGCAATGTGGAGGACTCGTGTGCCCTGACTCCCATAGCAGCCGGCTGCAATCTTCCTGATCTAGTCGTGCTTTCTGATCTTCTCATCCCTAATCCGCTGAGCTTTGTGGGAGTCCTCGTCTGAAGTATCTCCAAAGTTGCTAGCTCCAGGTAGCTACTGGCTGAGTACAATCAGCCTGTGGGGCTGTGTGGGGAGGGGGGGCACAGGAATGCAGGAATGTCTTGTTCCTGGGGCATTTCCTCCTGGGGAAGGAAGATGGGAAGGAATCCTTGTCTGTAAGTAGTCCAAGAGAAAAACGTTTCTCCTTGCAGACAATGAATCGTTTCAGTGAGCTGACACTGTTATTTGTGGCTCCTGGCAAACCAGATAAGAGCTTTCTGCCAGGCACTTGCTCAAATCAGTGCCAGCCCCAGCCTTGCTGATTGCTGTTGCACTGGGTGGGAGAGAAGTCTTTGTGAACCATGGCAGTAATCACAGTGGTGCTTCTGGGTGAAGGAAAGCTGTTGCCAGTCCCTCTGATTGCACAGTTGCTGATTCTTGTCCTTGTATCTCCAGGCTTTTTTATCTTCCTGAGAGAGGGGATGCCACTTTGGAGAAGGAATTTTTCCTGCCTGGCTCTGCTTGTGAGGCTGTGAACAGCTATTTTTAAGACCTGATTCCTTTCCCCTTGATCTAAACCTTGCACGAGGCCAGTTATATATGCTTGTTAAACCGAGAATTAAATCACATAGGAATGCTGCCTTCTTGATGTCTTCTCTATTACAGAGCTATGCTTAGAAGTTGAGGCTTTAAAAGTGATTGTGTGGGCTTTAGCTGAGCTGTGAAATAAGCCCTTATTGTAAACAATAAGCCTTTGTGATTAAGGCAGAGTCAGTGTAATTATCACCTGTCCTATTAAAAACCTGCGCATTTTGGGGCATAACCAAGCTAATCAGACAGTGTTGTGCTTTTCCAGATAACTAGGTGGTCCCGGAGCGGCTCCGGGAAGCAAACGCAAGATGAGCAGCGGGGGACGGTGCAGCAGGCGCAGAGGGCTCTCGGGCTGAGCCACAAGGATTTGAAGATGTCTGCGTGCAGTGACTTTGTGGAACACATTTGGAAGCCCGGCTCCTGCAAGAACTGCTTCAACCCAAAGATTTCCCATCAGCTGCAGACACCCCAAGACGTGGGAGCTTGTGGTGTGCTCCCGAATGGAGTTAGGACCAAGCCTGAGAGCCCTGCCTTGGAAGACGAAGGTGTAAATACCTCCCCCTTCTCAAAGCCAACAATTGCTGTGAAGCCAACTATGATAAACTCAGATGTTTCTGACGCGTGGGCAGATGTGAATATGAATGCAGATCTGTCACAGGTAATGATTAATCCAGTCAAAGCATGAATTCCCGTTACTTATGTCTCCATGGTTGTGCTAGGAATATCTGTTAAAACCATTTCCTTCACTTTGTTTTCCCTTCTGGTCTTGACTTAGGTTTTTAAGCCATATATTGACTCTCAAAGTATCTTGGGCTGAAGCTGAATGAGCTGTTGCTCACAAGCCATGTGCAAAGGCGCTTAAAAACATATTGTTAGTTTAGGAACTTCAGAATTTTAAATGAAGATGCTGGTTGTAGTTATTTTCCTGGAAGATATGCAGGGAAGACGTCCTGTCTGGTTGCAGTCCGTGCTAACTGGATCCATGGTCTTTGTGGGTAAAGAAGAAAGTGCCCTACCTTCCTAGCCCAGCTGCCTGGGCTCCCAACCTTTGCCAGAGCACTAGTGCCCTCTGGGTGCAGCAGTGCTGGCTGCCTGCAAACTGGCACGCCCCGGTGGTGTGAGTTGTGATCAAGAGGGGTGATTAACTCCTGTCCCCAGGAAATTGATATCAGCGCTGCCCCAGCAATGTCAAGTGAAGCCTGGGCTGCTGTGACCCTGCTTATCTCTCTCACCTTTGCCCCAGGGCTCACTGGCTCTCTTCTTAGCCATTGCTCTCCTTTGCTACTTTTCTAGGGATAAAGGGCACCGGAGTGCAGGCTGCCCTCATCAGTGGGGTTTGATCGGTGTGCCCAGGCTGAGTTTTGCGGTACCAGAGTGGGTTCTGCCACCCTGGGATGGGGGTTGCCTCACAGGCATATGTTAACCCTTTGCTTCTCCCACTCCTCCTCTTCCTTGGCAAGCAGGATATATATCCCTCACATGAAGAGATTTTGGATGCATTTCCCCACCTGCTTCCCAGTTCCTACTGCTGAACGTAGCCAAGATGCTATCCCAGGATAACCTGTGATAGTCTGTGTCTGTGAAATGAAATGATAGTCAGCAGTGTGAAATTAAATGAAAATAAGCAGAGAGAGGTGCAACTATTCCTTCCCACTCTGAATTGCTAATTGCACGGTGATTCGCAGACAGGATGACAGGTTGGACACGTTTCTGGCAGCGAACCCACAGAAAGAGAAAGGAGAATGCCTCATTTCAGTGCATTGCTATTGCTGGTAATGCAAAGATTGCAAATGATCCAGGAAATGGGACAATTGTAGTTTAAGTAGAAAAGATTTGCAGTACTTATTGGAGGGATAAGCACGGAGCAAAACAGAGTGCAAATGCTAGAGGACTTTTCTGTGAAGCTGTGGGTTTTTTTCTGTTTTTTTGTTTGTTTGGTTTTTTGTTCATTTGATTGGTTTGGTTTTGTGTTGTTGGTTTTTTCTTTTCCTTTTTTTAAAAAACTATTTTTCTTTCATTTCACCTGTGCACATCCTGACAGAGCACTTGTCTCTTTGGCCCGTGCAGGTCAGCTGGGGCATGGTTTCTGGAAAACACCTCCTTCTGAAATCGGGAGATGCACAGCGGATCTGTCTCGAGAATTTTGGCAACAGTGGTGTGAGAAAGCCCTTCCTTCACAACCCACCGAGTGACTGTTTGTCTTGCTGCCCTCCCAGCTACTCCATGGTGGGCCTGCGTAGCCTGGAGAGTCGAGTGGAGAGAAACGTCTCCATCCACAGCCTGGTGCTTGTGGGTGAGGTGGGCAAGCAGCAGGACAGAGCCAAAGACAAGTTTGCCCTGCCCCATCGTGCTGCCTGCCCTAATCTGTCCATCTCGGTGGACAGAAGCTCCTCAAACTCCAACAGAAGAAGCCCTTCTTCCCAAGCCAGAGAAGGAGCAGTGCTCCCCTCGGAAGGCTTTGAAAGCGAAGGGGGTGAGTATTGCTCGATTGCAGACTGCCGCAGAGAGTGCCCCGCCTCCAGGGAGCTGCGCTGTGGGGAGGGGAAAGGTGCCCAGTGTGAGAAGGACAGCTCGGCTCCCTGCCGATGGAGGCAGCGGGATGCTACGGAGATTCCCAGGCCAAGCAGCAGGGCTGTCAAGTTCAGTGAAGATGAGCGCAGGGCTGTGAACGTGGCCTATTGTATCACGAAAGACCAGGGTGATCCTCTCCCCTATGCCCTGTGCTCAGAGAAGAAAAAGCTGTCTCTGCAGCCTGAGCCTGCTGCCCTCCCCGAGAGCATGGGGAGCAGCAAGGCAGCTGCCTTCGCTTTATGCCGGGAGGATGAGGACTCATCTCTCCCTGGAGATCCTTCTGACACCGAAGGCCCCCAGCCTGAGGATCTGAGCACTCCTCAGCAGGCACTGGTGGAGCCACAGCCCCTTCATCTCGCCCTGCCAGCCCGCGGTGACCCCATCTACGCTGAGAGCACTAAGAGGAAGAAGGCGCAGCTGAAGGCAGCTGGTGGGGTGGCAAAAGCGGAGAAGCTGGTCTGTGGCCCTGGCAAAGAGCAAGCTGATGGAATGTGGAGGGATGGCAGCTGGGGTTTGGGTGGTGAGAAGGAGTACCAGGACCCTACTAGCCAGGTGGCAGCAAAGATAACTATCATGACAGCACACGCTGAAGATGATCACAAGACAATATTCCTCAGCAGCCCTGACTCAGCAGTGGGAGTTCAGTGGCCGTGCATCAGCCCCGCTTCTCACCTTGATTTTGGGGCTTCATCACTTCCCATTGAATCTGGAGAGATTTTTCAAGCATCTGGAAGTGAAAGCAACCCAAGATTTCACCTGGCAGCTCCTGCCAAGACCTCAGGTACTGAGAGTCCAGCCATTCCCCCTAAATTGTCCAAAAACAGCCAGCTGGGCAGTGAGGGGAACCGTGTGCCCCCAGTAAGCTCCCATGTGGCAAGGTTTGGTGATGACAGCAGCCACGATGGAGCTGGTGTTCAGCTGCTGCCATGGAGTTGTACAGATACAGGTGCCTTTGGGGTGTCTCTTCCTCCATGCACTCACATCAATGGAGTCTCTGCAGAGGAGTCCAGCAGAGGCCTGGCAGGCTCATCCTATGACAAGAGGCAGAAATACTACACCCCAAAATGGACCAAGCAGTGCCGGATAGAGGAGGAGGAGGAGCAGGAGGAGGAGCAGGAGCAGTGGGCAGTGGGAGCTGAGAATGGAAGAGCTGTTGCCAACCTTGTGGATGATGGTCTGATGCTGGAGAGCCAGACTAGGATCAGCAAATCATCATCTTTCTCTTTTGATTTCCCTAAAGACAAGAGCAATGGCGTGGAATCTGCACCACCACCACCGCCGCCGAAAAAGCAGTCCAGGTACAGCCCTCTGAGTGTGTGTGGGTCTGTTAACCATTTGTAATCAGGTTTGCTGCAGGGATAGGTTGACTAGGAGGTGCTTTCTGTCCTTTTTTTTTTCTTCCTTTTCTGTTCAAATGTGGGCTTTCAGGAGTATGGGTGAAAAACTACCTACTTTTTTGCTCTGAAAAGCTGTCAGCTCTTTGCAAGTCCTGGTTTGAATTCCATGCAAAAGTACTTGCAAAAGCCCTTCAGGGCTGCAAGGGATGGCCCTGGGTCCCAATATTCAAGGCCCATGGCTGGGATGGCTGGTGTTTCCCTGGTTACATTCATTCTCATTTGGCCCAGCCCCTTGATGTTGAATAGGATAGAAAGTCTGGGGCTGTGATCTGCTCTTGTAGAGGCAACTGAGCAACTTCTCTTGTTGCTAATAGCAAGGGCCTCTAAAATCCTTTTTTTTTCAGTTTGGCTCCAGTGTCTTTATGCTTTTGAGGTTAAATCTTGAAGATGCAGTTTCCCAGGGAGGACTCCTTGCCTGCAAGCAGGTAACTGGAGCTTGCTTAACATGCACTGATGTGTGGGGGCTGCCTGGCTTCGGGCAGCCTTCCCCTCACAGCTCTCCTGGAAGTCATGTTTGTAGGCAGGGTAACAGCATGCCCTACAAAATGTGAATGAAGGAGAGCTGTCCATCTGGGAAGAAAGTAGCTCTGCTAAGCAAGTAAAACAAACCAAAACAAAACCAGGCATCCAATACTTTGTGTGCATTCAGTATCTGCAGCTGTGTTTATAAAAAAAAAAAAAAAAAATTAAAAATGAGAAGACAGGAATAAAAGATAAAATGGAGGAAGAAAAATGTATTCCCTTGTCATGCAACTAATGGATTGGGTTGTCTAATCATAGTGGGGAGGGATACTTTCACATTCCATGGATGTCCTGTATTTGCTTTATTGCATGCGTCAGTTTTGTTACTTGTAACTGTGCATTGCACAACAGATTTGACTCCAACTCCTTGATTTTAAAGTTGATAGAAGATGAGATATGTGTTTGGAGGAGAACTTGTTCTTGGGGTCTGTGGTCAAGCTTATGCATAGGTATCAGTGACCCTCAGGTTGAGACTGTGGTTGAGTGGCCCCATGCTCTGTTTTGTTCTCACACTGAATTTTTAATGTTTTTAGGGTTGGCTAGTCCAGAGATCTAGTGTTTTAAATTGACCAAGTGGTGAACAAATCAGGTTTCTCAAGGAAAGGGAAGGGATGAACAAGGGGCTTTAATTCTCCTTAATGCTGGGTGTCCTGCTGTGATGCTGCATGCTGGCTTGAGTCAAACAAAAGTCCCACAAGGAAGTGATCACACAGATGAGCTTTATTGCCTCATCAGAGATGTGTTTCAGCTTTGACCCTGTGAAATCTCTTTCATGGCTGCTGCCACTTGGTGTCTCCTATCAGCCAGTGGCTTGAGGTTGTATCTGCCATCTGAGGTGTTGTTGAGGCCCAGCAGAGCTGTGATTATATGATGTTGTTGAGCGGTGATCATTTAGGAAATGCCAAGTTGTCTGCTGAAAGCCCTCTAAGGACCTGATTCCATGCCTGAAGAGAAGAGGCTACTGGGCAGGCCAGAAGGGCAGTGGCACTGAGGCGCAGCAATGTATATCCCAGCAGCATCTTCCACTTGCAGGACCCCCTTCAGCTCTTGAAAGAGCAGTCATCAGAGCTCTTTGTCCATACTGGGGCCAAGGATGCTTCCTTGACAGTGCTTGGAGTCTCCTTTCTGCCTTCATGAGGGCTGAGAGCAGAGGAACGGGGCTCTTTGATGTGTCAGAATGTCTCTTTGGCTGGGTGACTTGGACCAGCTGTGCTCCAAGCCAGAAGCATGCCCTGCCATTGCCTTCCATGTGCAGTTATGATCCATCCTGAGGGGCGTGGAGCATTTTCTGGTCCTTGGAGGGGCTGTTTCCTGCTCCTCGTGTGACTGGGCTGTGCCAGCTCTTTAACAGTTGCTTCTGAGTCATTCTGAAAGCATCTGTGTGCTAGAAAGTCTGTGTGAAAGTGGGCAAGGAAACTGAGGTCAGGGAAACTGTGGCATCCATGACCAGGTGGCTGCCTGGATGCAGTCCTGAGTAATGTGCTCTAGGTGGTTCTGTTTTAGCAGAGGACTTGGACTAGATGATCTCTAGAGGTCCCTTTCAACTCTGACAATTCTGTGACTCTGTGGGATCTCTGGCAGCACCATAAGCCCTGCTAGCAGCTGAAGTAGGTGCTGGCAATGCTCTAATCCACTGTGGCTGCAGGCCATGTATTTGTCTCCTAAACACCTTGAGTCCTTCAGCTGAGCCTTAGGGCACTTTACACAAAGAGGATAGTCCTCCCTCTGGCTGCCAAACCCCTGCCAGCCGGCCTGAGGAGCAATTTGATCAGATGGCAGGTTTCACAAGGCCTGCAAACCAAGCTGGTTGCTTTGTTTGTTTGCTTTGAGGGTGCCCTTGTTTTTGTCTGAAAGCCTGGCTTCTCTGAGCATGTTGATGCAGGAGCCAGGCTGTTGTTACCTGGCGGTGGGAGGGATGGCTACCTGCACAACTGGTTAAAATCACCCTGGGCAGCAGCTTTGGGTGATGACACGACTCTGACATGGTGCTGAAGGAGCATCTCCTCTGGTCCTCCTGGGTTGCAGCCAAATGCCTGAAGAAGGGATGAGATCTTGGATGCAGAGATGACTCTGAGACATGCCTGTACTCTCCTAGGCCCAGGAAGCCTGTGGTTGTGTGCTTGTCTGTAACAGAACCACCAATACTTCTGTTAGCTTTATACAGTCTCTCACAGAGACAGAATGCTTCAGCCCAAGATGTTCTCTGGTGGCACAGCTGCAAAGGCTTCTTAGATGGATGGATGGATGGATGGATGGATGGATGGAGATGAAGCCAGCATAGACCTGGCTGTGGCACAGGCTTGGGGCTTAGTAAATCAGGGTTCATTTCAGCTGCAGGAAAAGTGTGTAACCATCCTTTTCCTTTCTAGATCACGAGGCTGCAGCAAAGTGTTTGATTTCATGCTGGAAAATGAAGACTGCTTGTTTTACTTTCTTAATTAAACTTAATTGCTTATTTTAAAGAAAACCTGCATGTGTGTTCAAACTAGTTTCAAAGCAAAGAAAGAAAAGGCAAGTCTGTATATTTTGTTTTGTTCATCTTGGCCCTAACAAATAAAAGGGGGAAAAAGTTTTTACAGGGTAAATTCCTGCCAGGCACTGAGGAAACTCTGGTTTTTTGGTAAGCTATCTCTTAGGATGGTGGAAGGAGTGACTTTAGGGAGTTCTAAAAGTTGGCACAAAAAAGGAAAATAATTAATTTGTGCCTATTTTGTCCTGTATGAAGCTGCTTTGGACCTTTTGTGATTGTTTCTTCATACAATCCTTTTCCCCTGCTTGTTTGAAAGGTCATAGATATTTAAGGTTTTATTGGTCTGAAATGAAATGGAAAATGAGTTTAATTACAAGAGGAAAGAGAATGGAAAGGGAAGATGTTGGCTGGTCTTCTTCCAAAAGCTGGGAAGGTAGTCTGCTCAGAAAGGGCTCACCAGGGGCAGTAGGATCCCCAGGACTTGTATGTGCAGTGACAATCTAAATGTTTTTCAGTGTGAAACACTCTAGCATGGCCTTTAGTTTCTTGGCACGGTGAATGAATCTTTGCTGCAATTTATGTCTCTTATGCAGAGGGTCAGGCTAAATGATCCTTAATTTCCTTCTAGCCTGCAAAACCTTGATGGTTAATTTATTTCTTGTGCCTCTTAGAGAAAGGAAACAGTGATGCTGTTTTGCATCTTGAGCTGTTGGCTCTTGAGCTGTTTTCATTGTAATTAATGGCACTTTCAAAAGGCAGTGCCATAGATAGCTTCTGAAATTTGCTAAATGCACTTGCTTGAGGTAACAAAGATGTGTAGCATGGCACATCCCAACACCCACCATCACTGAAAACAGCAAGGACAAATGAGCTTGAGGTGTGCCAAGTTTGCGTGTTATGGTGCTGCTGCCCCTGCTTGTTGCCAGAGGGAAGAAAAAGCAAGAGTGTAACCAAAAAAATCATAAAGTTGGCAACTGGGTCCCTAGGAAAGGAGCCAGGTTAGTTTCTCGCAGGGGAGGTAGTGCTGGCTGGTGGGACCAGGCTGTGTGCTTCTTGCCAGGAATCAGTCTGTGACGGAGCAGTGCTGCACCTGAGACAGAGTATTTCCCTTCTCTTACCATTTCCAAGGCACCCACTTCTCTTCGGGGCTCAGATGTCACTGGTGACAAAAGCAGACTGGCTACATGGAGCTCCTGCTGCAATTACAAATGCAATTAGAAGTCACGAGTCCAAAATTTTTACCCTCTTCTCTATGTCTGTGCATGACAGCAGAGATTTGCTGTTTGGTCTAGAACAAACCAGATTTATTATAATTATTAAAATAATAATTGTTAAATAAGCAATATTTTCTATATGGAGTGTATTTAAATATGTAATAATTAAATAAGTAATAAAGCAAAGAAGAGAGGGTATGGCTCAAGTAGGAGAGAGAGTCATGCTCCAGGACAGGGAGGGAATACACCTCCTGGATTCCCCTTGTGTTTTTTGTCTGAAACTAACTGGGAATTTCTTGTGCTGCTTCTCCCAGTGGATCATTTTTAAAAGGTTGTGATTTATCAACCAACCTTTTAAGGGAGATTGTTTCTTTTAAAAAGAATTTTGTTTGATTTTGTGTGTTTTCAATCTTGCCACTTAAAAAAGCACAGCATCAGAAATTGAAACAAAATTCGTTGTCCTCTTCACCACATTGCAGCAATTTAATTTTTGACCCATCTATGATCTTAATTCTGCACCCTGTCCAAGTCTCCCCTTTTATTTCCAGACTCCAAACCCTTTAACCTGCATTACATAAAACCTTTTTGATACAGGGAGGAGTGGTGTAGTCCTCTGGACAGAGCTAGCAGTGTTTCAAAATCTTCTCTTTCTCTCACCTCAATTTTGGTTTCCCCACATTTGCCACCTGGTAGCAGAAGGATAAGTACAAATCCAAACCTCTAATGTTGTAAGCTCCTGCATGCTGGTTTTTAACTGCCCTGTACATCCAGGAGAAGATGCTGGAAGAAACAGCAGTGGTGGGAGGAGGAAAATGTAATTATTCACATTTCATGATAGACAAGCATATGGTACAATGGTGCTTCCTCTTGTGTAATAATTATGCCCAGCCATGTGTTGTGTTTGATGCTGTAATGCAGTCTGGCTTTTCCCTCTGCCTTGCATTAGTTACAGTATTTTATTTTGGGAGAGGGTGTCCTGTTGAGATTATCACTGACCTTCTGCTGGAGAGTGGTTTCGTTTTTGTGTGTTCTCTGCTCCTCTTTTCTTCCTTCCCCTGTTGCATGATTGATACAGCTCGGCATCTGTGTTACCTGTTAAAGTCCTCTCACCCATGCTGAGGAGCAGTGACCCACTCCTGCAGGCACAGCAAGGCTGGGAGAGCCCCACGATGGGGCTGCAGGGCAGGTGCTCCCTGTGATCCGGTCTCTCTGCTGAGAGGAGATGCCTTGCAGCTTCCTCTGCCACTGCCAACGGGCTTCAGATGTGATGGCTGCTGGAAAGGAGCAAGTGGCAGCCTTGCAGCTCTTTGTGCCTGAGTGGCCTTTTCCTCCTCTGAAAACCTCCTTGCCCTTTCACTTTTGGAAGGTAACCAGATCTGTGTGTCAAATCTCAGGTGGGAAATTCAAGCTGAAGGCGTGACTGGGGTCTGAGGGACCCCTGGGGAGACACCTCGAGGCTTCATGTCTGTGGTGGCTGGGGGAGCCACGCTTTGGTGCTTGTCTCCACTCTCACACTGAGAGTGCAAGGCACGCGGCCAGGAATGCTGGAGTCCTTCAGCAGCATTAGGAGGGACCCTGATCTGCTATGAAATGTGAAATCAAATATGAATCAAATGCTGAAATATGAATCACGGGAAAGATGAAGCATGCCCTGGTTGGAGATGCAATGTGGGACATTGCAAATCATCCCAGTCCCTTTGCAATGTTATAGAACTCCAAATTCTATTTTGTTGGGGGTTTTTTGTTTGTTTGTTTGTTTTGTTTATTTGTTGTTGTTTTTTAACAGACCACTGTTTTCATCCTTGACTTGTTTTAGGCAGGACTGTGAGAACTGTGTGGAAAGCCAGCTGGATGGAATTGTTTAGGATGGGAAAAGTGGGGAATAGTGAACGGGAAGGGTTGCCTGGATATGACGTTGTGTTACATGGAGGATGTTGAGTAATTGAAATGTATTTAAAGCCACCGGAATAATTTGCAGAGCTGCAAATCCTGTCTTTCTAGGTTATAAGATTGGAAGAGCTGACTCCTGTGACCCGTTCTTTATGCACTGGCACATGAAGGAGGCTCTGGTGCTACTCATGAAATTGCCAGTTACATTTCAGGTGTTGAGCACAGATTTTTGAAATGGAGGCAAATTAACCTTTGCTGCATCTTTCTGAAGGGAAGTGGAACCTACAGATGTTAGCAAGCCAGTGATGGCAGCAGCCTCAATGATTTCTTCAGGCTTAAGATGGGTTGATGTGCTTTACTTCCAATATGCTTTGCTGAAAAGGGTGAGATGGAGAATAGGCATTTGTGTCCTTGCAGTTGCACGTGGTGGAAGCAACACTAGCAAAGCAGGGAAAGTTTAGGTTAGCTGTAAATCAGGATCCCACAGGCTGCCACAGCCATGAGCTGCTCGTCTCTTGGGTGGAATTTTACTGAAAATTAGGCAGACTTTTGCTATAGCCAGTATTTTCAGTAATTCTTTGCTATAGTGGGTAGTATTGTAATCTGTGCAGGCTGTAGCCTGAGCTCCAAGCAGCTCACAGGACAAGAGGGAGATGTGAGTGGAGAGGGAGATGTAAAGTGGACACGTTTCCAGGCGGTATTTGCTGGCCTGGCTGTAACATCTGAAACAAGAGCAGGATGTCGTTTAAGCGGCAAACAATGTCTATTTCGGTGTGCCTACTCAGGAACTGCATTCTACATAAGTCACGGCGGTACAGGGAGGAAGTGGGGCTCTCTGTACATCTGACTTCACCTCGGCGCCGCGCAGCTCTGGCAGATGCCGAGTTGCAACCAGGTTGCTTGGAGGAATAGGTGTGGCTGCCTGAGGTGGACCTTGGACCCCACCGAGCAAAGTCCCATCCCTCTCTGAGTGCGGGAATGGTAAGGCAGCTCTGCGGATCTGTGGTGAAGCGATGGGAAGGAAGCAGAAATGCACCAGCTTTTCTTGGGGAGGTGGGAGGGGGAGGGGAGGAATGTGTTAGAAAACCTCTCATCTGTGCAAATTGAGACTGGCTTTCTTGAAAAAGCTGCTGCTTTTCTTTTGGATTCAAATGTTTCCTTGATTCTTGCCAGGTCAGACAGTGCACCCATATGGGTGTGCACCCATATGTTCCCCCCTGACAAATTACTAAAAGTTAAACATCTGAGAAAGTTACAGGATAAAGATACATCTTTCTAATTACATCATTCTTTTTTTTTTTTTTTTAAATTTTATTTCCAGTTGGTTGCTTTCAACAGCATTAATTGTAAGAGAGTTGATTCATCGTGTCTCTTTCACTCTCTCTCTTTTTGTTTGTTTTGTTGTTTTTTTTTTAACTGTGGCTTGTGTGGTGCTTTGCAAAGTTTTGTCAATCATCCCCAAGAGACTTGCCGTGGTGAATTTGTCACTTGTGCAAGACCCAGTGGCCCTGCTCAATTATACATAGGATGGTTTTAGAGCCTTATTTTCATCAGCCCCTGAGTATTTTTAGACAGAGGCTGCTCAGGCAAATGAGGAAGTCTGGCAGAAGTTTCTTCCGGGCTTCTCATACACTCTGCTCTCCATGTGGTGGTGTGGACACAAGAGTAAGTGCTTTGTATGGATGCGGAATGAAGCATTTCTCAGTCTTCAACTAAAAATTGCTCGTGGCATCTGCTGTGCTAGGGGGTTTTGGAAGAGGAGGGATATCCTGTGTGCGTGAACAGGGTGCCACCAGAAAATGGTCGTGCCGGTCTTTTATTTGTCTTTCTCAGCAGCCATTCAGCTGTCTGATTAGGAAACTTGGGATACTTTCCAGCAAGATAGCTGGTGGAAGTCCTTTTTCTTTTACACAACTCTGCCTTTTAATATTAGTTATCAACAATGTGTTGAATTTTATCAGCAGATTGGCAGTTTGACTTCAAAAACGTGGACCGATAACCTTTGTTTTCTGGCCAGTAGAGTCCGAACTGTACTCAAGCTAGGAGTGTCTGTGCTCTGATGTGCTGCCTGATTTCAACAGTTTCTCTTGTTTTCCAAGGAAGAAAAAAAATGAAAAAAACGCAGGGGAAATTCTTTATCTTAGCAAAAAGTCCTGCTTGCCTGCAACTAATCACTTAAGCTGGGACCTGGCAGGAAGCTGCATGGAAAACTGTAGGTCTTGCATTAGAAGCTGGATGGTAGGTCCTGAGTTTGGCAGACACAGGTTTTCTGCAGAGGTGGTGCTTCTTTTGGAAGGTGTCTGTTGTTACTGTGATGCACTGAGGAGACAACAGCTGCTAGGAACGGGCTCTTCTTCCACCTATGCCTCCACCATGAAGGAATTGGGTTCTGACACCCAGCCTCAACCTGCCCTTCTGTAAAATGGGAGGAGTGATGCCACTCCCTTTCCTTGAGAATTTAACTGAAAGCAAACACTGGTAGGTCCCCACTTCCATGTGGTGGCGGCCAAGGTGGGATGTGGCACAGGGCATGTGCTAGGCAAAGGAGGCACAGTCTGGGGCCAGATGCTATTGTTCAGTAGTTCTCTCTCTGCTCACTCACAGCTGGGTTGGGATGGGGGGGCTGGCACGGGGCTGCAAGCCTAAAACCTGCGCGGTGTCAGTGGAGTGCAATCCCCAGGTGCCAGAGAAAGAAGAAAACTGCACAGGCATGAGGTGCTGTGGCACAGTGCACAGTGTCTGTACGGACGTGCAGGGACCAAGCCAAGGCTGCTTCCGCTTGAGTCTCCATGCACAAGTGTGCACACGGTTATCTTCTGCAATCTGTCTCCTGACTCTTCTCTTTCACTCCCTCTAGGCATGCTCTGAAAATGAACCCAAATAATGCTGACTTGGAGAGGGTCAGCAACAGCTCTGCCGAGAGCCTCAGCCCACCTTTCAGGAGCGCCCACGTCAGCTTCACAGCTGGCTCCACTGACAGCCTTGACTCGGACACGCAGACTGGCAGTGATGGCAGTAAGTGACCACTGGGTGTGGGAGAGGTAGCATGGGACCTGAGGAAGGAGTCACCTCCATCCTGAGGGCCACTGCTGGGGCAGCATCTTCAGAGCAGCAATCATGAGGATCCGATCACCTAGTTTCCCCCAGAAACACTTCATCATGCAACTTCTCCTACACTTCTGCCTCTTGATGTGCTTAAGATTAATATGGCAGAGTCAGGCCAACATCATGGATTTTTTCCTTTTCCATTTGGCAAGTACTAAAATAATTCCTCCTGTAGCTCTCATCTTGTCTGGATAAAAGCTCCACCTGAAAGCAATTGTCTTTATCCTGCTTGTGCCTCATGTGTCGCACAAGGTCACAACTAGCCCTGCCGTAAAAAGTTCTCCATAGATTTGAGGTGTACCAGAAGGAGTCTTGTGCTAGAGATGATCTCTCCCTCTCATTGTGTTTCCAGTTATTTCTTGAAGGGGGAAAATAAATAAATCTGCCTGCACTCGTTTAACCGAGATTAAAAAATACTTACTATGAAGTCACTTTTTTTCATCAGTGCGTAACTTAGACATGCACTAACGTGTTCAGCAGCTCAGAAAGTGTTTCCTTTGCAAAAGCAACCTTCGTGTAGTGGAAGTTCTGTCTTTCCAAGAGCAACAATGTGCAGCAATAAAATTAAGAGCCAGAGCTCTGGAAAACTCATTTTTCCACTGCTAACTTGGAGTCTGAGAGGGAGACCATGCCAGGAAATTGTACAGAGGGAAGAAAAACTCGTATACGTTGGATCTTTGTTTGCTGGGCAGAGAGGCAATTTGCTGTCAAATATGATATGGGATGAGGATTTCTCTGCCTCCACTAACAGAAGCAACTCATCTTGGGAAAGCTGGGTTGTTAAATGAATAACCCAAATGCAGTTTTTCTTGCTGATGCAAGCAAGAAGCTGTGCAGTCAATCACTGAGTGAGGTGAGCTCAAATTAATTGGCTATACTGTCAGATGTTAAAATATGAAGTGGAGAGGGGAGCTTTTAAGCTCTTGACATGCAGAAGGAATCTATGCTGAAGGTGCAGAGCACTGTTAGGAAAGTTGTGAAAGGGTTTCATTTGTTAACCTGTGCTTGGGGCAGAGCCCAGCAGCACATAAAAAAAAGGTTAGAGCAGTTTGGCATTTGTGAGCTACGCATATGGACTGGTTGCCAAAGCTTCCAGCACTGACATTCATTCCATAAGACTGTCAAGTAAATCTTACCTCTTGAAACAGGGATTCAGCTGCGTGTCCTTGCAGAGATGTCTCTGCAAAGTAGCTTTTGGGCTGCATGCTGAAGAATGTCTCTTGGCTGGATCATCTGTCAAAGTCAGTCCCTTGGACTAGAAGTGGCAAGAAATGCCATGCTGACAATTCCTGCCAGTGGCTTTTGACAGGGTTTTGACCAAGAGGATCTCTCCTGTGGACCTGGCAGGGTGTGATGCAGATGTCTGGGTTTTCATTAAAGCTTGGGGTCTGCATCTCTGTTGAGCAATGGGTTCCATGGTTAACTGCGCAGCTGCAGAGCACTGACACTGGAAAGGAGTCAATTGCTCAGCAGCTCTGTGTACAGTGCAGGCAGATGCCTGGGGCAAGGGCCTAACAGGAGTCAGGTAGCTTGGCACCCAGGAACCAAGGAGGCAAAAGAGACGTGTGTTGATGCACAACATTTCCTACAGAGCTGTTTATGAGCATATTGGGGTGCCAAATCTGTCTTGTATGGTGAGCTCATCTTCTGCAGAAGCCAAAATCAGTGACACTGGCTCCTGGGGTGGGGGGGTCTCAGTGCTGATGCTTGGGATAGGGTGTGTGGCAGCAGGAGCATACAGGCAGCCTTGGCAGTGGAGGGAACAAATGAAAATCAAAGTCATGGTGGGGAGGGACAAGGACAGATAGTGCTTGCATCCAATCTGGTCACTGAGAACTAGGGGACCTGCCCCTCACCTCATGCAGTCTCAGGTGGTGAGCAGCTAAGTGGGATTGCTGTTCTGGCACAGCTGGTACAGCTTTGAGCCTGCATGTGACAGGCCAGGACAGGCTGGGAGCTCGGGGATACAAGCCCCTGCACTTGGAGGTTGTTCATGAGAGCTTGTGAGTCACAAGGGTTGTCACAGAGACAAGTGCCTGCTGCAGGCTGACATGAAACTGCTCTAGGGCATTCCT